CTACAGCCCACTGGGTGTGCCTCTGCAATGTCCAAGTCCTAGTCCCACATCCTCACTTGCCCTAGGATCTACACAGTGCCACTTTCTTCCCTAGCCCTCTCTCTAGAGAGAAGCCGCAGAAACCAGAAAGCCGGGGCCCAGGTTGCTGGCCGGACCCTCAGGAGTGTGAACTGTGGGCCTGTGCAAGTGCCTGTGGCTGATGTCACCAGGGAAACCTGGAGTTCCTGCTTGGTTCTTCGTTTTGGTGATAAAATTATTTTTAAAAGGATTCATGAGCTGGAGAGATGGCTGAGGTGAAGAGTACTTGGTCCAATCTCCATTGCTCATATAGTGGCTCAGAGAACCAACTGTAACTCCAGCTCCAGAGGATCCAACACCCTCTTCTGGTCTTCTTGGGCACTAGGCATGCATATACAGACAAAACATGTACACACATAAAATAAAAACAAATCTTTTTTGTTGTTTTATTTTTAGAGATAGGGTTTCTCTATGAAATAGTCCTGGCTGTCCTGGAACTCACTCTGTAGACCAGGCTAGCCTCAAACTCACAGACATCTGTCTGCCTCTGCTTCCCAAGTGTTGGGATTAAAGGTGTGTGCCACCACTGCCCAGCTATTATTTTTAAGGACAAGGTCTCCTTGGCTGTTCTGGAACTTGTTACAGAGACCAGGTTGGCCTTGACCTCACAGAGATCTGCTTGCCTCTGCCTCTTTCTCCCAAGTGCTGAGATTAAAAGTTTATGCCACCACCACACCCGGCTCAAAAATAAACCTTTAAAATATTAAGAATGGATGAAAATGGACTCACAACCATCTGTGGTGACACTCGCCTCTGGTCTCAGTGCTCAGAAGGCAGAAGTAGGTGGATCTCTGTGAGTTCAAGGCCAGCCTGGGCTACACAGTGAGTTTCAGGCCAGTTATTATAATATGGTGAGACTCTACCTCAATAAAAAGATTTTAAAAATGTCCTCAGAAGGACACTGCAGGACGACTTTATTAGAGCTGGAGAGAAAAACAGGCAGATGAGCTGTAACTCTCAGCAGATGCTGCGAAGGGGGGTGGAGAAGAGGAAGAGGAAGCCACACCTGTGAAGTGGGGGTCTAGGAGCAGGGAGGTTCACGAGTGGGGGTCTGCAAGCCTATACAAAGGGTAGAGGCTAGACAGGGACCGATGAAGCATCTTGGACACAAAAGTGGGCAGTCTTCTCCAGAAGCAGAATTGTTCTTTAATCAAAACAACTGGGCATCTACTGTGTGAGATCTTGGGCTTTTATAGGAGGGCAAAGGGGTATCTTTGGGGAAGGCAGAGTCCATCTGCCCGGCCAGCTCCCTTGCAGCCTGGAGGTGGTAAATGCCAGCAGTTTTGGTGTGCTTCCAAGTGTGTGATCAGTCAGGTCAACCCTCCTGCCCGGAACTTCAGTACACCTGAGGCTTGTAGGTAATTAACCCTTCACGGAGTGTCAGGGAAAGCATGCTTGTGCTTTTAGGCTCCCAAATGGGGAGGGGTTATAATTTTCTGTTAGGAAGCAGACAGTCATGGCACTGGGACACTAACTAAGAGCTTTGCATCCTGATCTGCAGGCAGCTGGAAGAGAGAAATACCGGGCCTTGTGTGGACCCATGAAAGACTCCAAGGCTGCACCCACTGGCACACCTCCGCCAACAAAGCCACACCTTTGTAGCCTGGCAACTGAGCATTCAAATATATGACCTTAGGGGAAGCCATTCATATTCAAACCACTAGAGAGAGAAAGAGAGACAGAGACAGAGAGACAGGGCATGGTTTGGGAACCCTCAAAACTCACCCCCAGTGACGCATGTCCTCCAACAAGCCAGACTTCCCAATCCTTTCCAAACAGTTCCATTCCCTGTCACTAAGTATCCAAATATCAGAGCCTATGGGGGCCATTCTCATTCAAACCAGCACACAGGGTGTCTTAGTCAGGATCTCTAGAGGAACGGAACTTATACAATGAATATCTGTCTGTCTGTCTGTCTGTCTGTCTAGAAAGGGCATATTAGAATGGCTTGCAGGTTGTGCCCCAGCTACTCCAACAATGACTATCTACCAAAGGGGTCCAAGAAGCCAGGGGTTGTTCAGTCCATGGATGATGTCTCGGCTGATCTTCAGTATCTGCCAGAATCCCAAAGAAGAAGACTCCAGGGCAGAGAAGGACTGAACTTGCCAGTGAGAACAAGAACAAGCAGACAAGGAGAACAAGCTTCCTTCTTCCACGTCCTTTACATAGGCTGCTAGCAGAAGGTGTCGTCCACATTAAAGATGGATCCTGCCACCTCAGAAGATCCAGAATAAAAGTGGGTCTTTACTTCAAATGATGTAATTAAGAAAAGCCCAGGGCTGGAGAGATGGCTCAGCAGTTAAGAGCACTGCCTGCTCTTCCAGAGGACCCAGGTTCAATTTCCAGTACTCACATAGCAGATCACAACTGTCCGTATTTTCAGTTCCAGGGTATTCGACACCCTCACACAGACATACATGCTGGCCAAACACCAATGCACATTAAAAAAAAGGGGGGGGGGAAAGAAAGAAAGAAAGATCCCTCGCAGGTGTACCTAGCCACTTGAGCTTTAGTTAATCCCAGGTGTAGTCAAGATGACCACTGAGAATAGCCATCACACAGGGTCTATTCTTGGCTAGCCTAAAATTCACTATGTAAACCTTATTGTCTTCCGTGTGCTGGAATTAAAGGAATGTGCCACCATGCCAGCTAGGCTTGGACTAACTCTTGAGAAGAAACAATAGGTAATGTTCTAATCTTGGGAGCAGATCAGAATGTCACGTCTTCACCCCGGGCCACAGGTATCCTATTCTTTTGAACAGTAGGCTTAAGGTGCAGTAAGAAGCAAAGCGAATTTCATCTTCCTAGTGTGGCCAGAGAAACAGGAGGTGGGGTCTGAAGCTGACCACAGGGAGGGGTCTGTCCTTGGCCTTAAAGGTGGTGACCTAACAGGGTCCTGAAGACTTTTTGCTGTTGGAGTGCCAATGTCATGGCCCACACACGGGGACACACTTCCGAGCCGTGCAATAATGCACATGTACAGGTGAGGTTTGGGCTGAATCGAGCATTGATTGAAGAAGTGGTGGGGGGTAAGGGCTCCCTTTCTGCCACCTGCAGAGCACTGGGAGGAGTCACAGAGGCCCAACAGGTCAGACCACTTTGAGAACCTCAGAGCAGGAACCAGGAGAGGAGTGGACCAACAAGCCGAGGAAAAGGCCGGGGCTGGAAAGGGAATTGCACACGAGACTGCCATGAAGCTACTGCCCAGCTGGAGAGCCACGTTGCCCATGGGCCCTCGGCCTGGCCTGTGCCCCTGCATCCCAGCCTGGCTGTGGGCACAGCAACCCAGAAGTAGGTAGCTCCAGGGTGGTTGGGGCTAGCGTAATCAGAGGGGAGCAGGTGCCCATCCCAGGCCCAGCTCTTTCCAGCTGAATGGGCCCCTGGATCCTTGTGACTGCTGTTAGGAATATTTCTTAATATTAGCTCCCTGCCGACGCAAAAATTCCCAATCAAGCCAAATCCAAACAAGCCAAATTAAGAAATATCCAGGTTTGATGGCCTCAAGGGGAAACCGGGAAGCCACAGATACGCGACCCCGGGAGGAAGAAAGGGAGACCCCGTGTTCCTCTTTTGGGGGTTCACTTATATACCGTGGGGAGGGGTCTGCTGGGATTTGAAGTCCAGACCAGGCCTGGGGGCTGGGATAGATGCGAGGGGCAGGGCCTACGCTCCCAACTTGACAGCTGCCTCTGCTAACCCTAGCCAAGGTCAGGAAAAGAGATGTAGGTGCAGAGTGAATGCGGAGTGACGGGCTTAGGGAGAAAGGTCCCATGTTCAGTTTAATGTTCGGCTATTTTTATTTTAATCCTTTGAGACAGTTTTTTTTTTGGTTGTTGTTTTTTGTTTTTCTATTTTATTTTCTGAGACAGGGTCTTACTATGTAGCCTTGTCCTGGAACTCACTCTGTGGACCAGGCTGGCCTTGAAATCGCAGAAATTTGCCTGCCTCTGCCTCTTCCTCCTAAGTGCTGAGTTTTAAAAGCGTGAACTGCCAAGATCTTATGTAGCCAAGGATGTTTGAGGCTGGTCTTGAATTCCCCAACCTCGTGCCCTCATGCTGGGATTACAGTATGTGCCATCACACCCAGCTTTTCTGTTATTTGAAATAATTAGTAATTTATATTTAGTGCGTGTGCTTGAGCACGTGTGATGCCTGTGTGAGAAAGACAACCTGTGGGATTCAGTTCTCCTCTGGCCTGCGGGTCCTGGGGAGAGGACCGAACTCAGGTCGACAGACTTGGCAGCAAGTGCCTTTTCCTGCTGAGCCATCTTGCCAGCCCCCAACTTTTATTTACTATTATTTTGTGTGTGTGTGTGTGTGTGTGTCTGTGTGTGTGTCTGTGTGTCTGTGTTGTCTGAGTTTGGGTGTTAGTGCCAAAGGGGTACAGGTGGCGGTCAGAAGACAACCTGTAGAAGTCAGCTCTCTCCCTCCACCACGCAGGTCCCAGAGGTCAAACTGGGGTCACTGGGCTTGGTGGCAGGTGCCTTTACCTAAGGAGCCATCTTGCTAGTTCTTTTCTATTCAGTTCAGGTTTTGCTATGTTAGGTACTATTTCTTTAGTGTATAGTCCAGGCTGGCCCAGACAGAACTCACTATAGAGGCCAGGGTGGGCCTGACTTACTGCGATCTAACTGCCTCCTGAGTCCAGGGATTACAGACATTAGCTACTAGACCCAACATAATTCTTTTTTTTTTTAAAAAAAATATTTATTTATTTATTATGTATACAATATTCTGTCTGTGTGTATGCCTGCAGGCCAGAAGAGGGCACCAGACCCCATTACAGATGGTTGTGAGCCACCATGTGGTTGCTGGGAATTGAACTCAGGACCTTTGGAAGAGCAGGCAGTGCTCTTAACCTCTGAGCCATCTCTCCAGCCCCCCCCCAAAAAAAATTCTTAACACTTTTGCAACAAGAGCCCCCTCCTCACTTTCCCAGGGTCCCACAAACCTCGTAGTTCATCCTGGCTAATGTGTGTGTGGGGAACCCTCACCCTGAGACAGGGCATGGGCTACACAGGCCTTTCTGCAGGTGCCTCAGGAACCCTATATGGTGAAGGCTGGCAGGGAGGAGAACCAAAACTAACCTGACTTTCGTGTTGGTGTCCTGAAACCTCACTTCCTGTCTGGCCTTGGTCACATCACTAAGTCTTTTTCCTTCAGCAGTGAAAGAGTTAACACGCCGCTGCCCCAGAGGGGCGGGACATGGGGCAGCACACACACAATACAGATATTGGCATTTGATGGTGATGGTGATAAGATTAACTTCTATTAATAAGTGTAGAGGGCTTCGCGAGGAAGGCATGAGTCATGTTTGTCCTCTCCTCGCCTGTCATCCTCCAACGGCCCCCTCTCACCCTGTAGACTCTGGCCCTCCCTAGGAAACAAGGACAGGCTCCATGCCAAACTTGGATGCGGGTAGGAGAGAGGATATTCAGAAGGCAACCGTGCTTGGGTGGCCAGAGTTAATACCTTACCTCTCCCTGAGTGTCCCTTTCGCAATCTGGAGCTATGGACCTGGTTACAGATTGACTCCGAACAATGTCTGATGTGCAGAGTAAAGTCCTCCTTGGCCTTGGTAAAGCCTTCCTCTCTTCTCCTCAGAAGTTTCTCCAACCCGTGTCTCAGAGATGAGAGCTCAGGAGGACTCCAGGAGCCCGACACAGGTGTTGGCGAAAGTGGGGAGCTGGGCAGGGACACGGCAGGTGGGGGCTGGGCCTCTGCTGGCCTTTCTCAGAAGGCAGAGACAAAATTTCTAATGTACTTGACAAAAGGAGACAGTCCTGAGCTTCCAGTGGCACGCGGGGAGTGGAGGGGAGGGGAGGGGATAAGGTAAGGGAGCCTGTGGTTTGGGGGCTGACTGACTTGGGTTTAGGCGGTCAGTAAGGGCTGGGCCTACTCCCTCTGTGGCACCTTCAAGGACTTCCGAGAGGCAGAGGTGGGACGGGAGGGATCTTATCCAAAGCCTAGACCTCTCCCTTGGACCTCTTTGTCTTCTGACTTAGGGGTCTCACTAGAGAGCATAAGGACTAAGGGCTCTGGAAGCCAGGACAGAGCCTTCATCCCTAAACTGGAGTGTGGGATGAGGGAAGGAGCAGTGAGCACCAGCTGCGAGGGTGGCCGGTCCAGTCCATCATTCATCCTCACTGAATGGCTGGGAGGCCGCGTGACTCCCCTAGTCCAGACAGCATAGGCTTTGCCTGTTCCTCACTCTGCCCTGAGCTGCAGATCTCTCTTGCTCCAGCATGAATCCCTGGCTTCGGCAGAGGCTTCCACCAGGGACCGGAAGACATCCTTGCCCATGGAGCCCAAGTTGGACATGTTGTACAAGATTGAGGATGTGCCACCATGGTACCTATGCATCCTGCTGGGCTTCCAGGTGCGTTTCCCCAGACCTCCCCAGCCCTACACAGCACCCTCCCCAGGTATCCCAAACCCTCCCTGGACAAAAGTTATTTCAGGCCAGAGAAAGAAACAGGTCAGCAAGACTGTCACCAAGCAGCAGTATCAAAGAAGGTTAAGTGGCCTGGGAGGATTGTGGACGGCATATGACAGGCAGGAAGGGCCCATTCACAGAAGCCATAGGAGTGCCTTGGGGGAGGCTGGGGCCCTGAGCTGTGAGCAGCAGCTCTTTGATAATCCCTAAGGGATGACGTCATTTGAGTAAGCACCCTGTTGGTATGGGCCAGGTTCAGGACACTGACCTGGGATGCACGTTTGCATGTGAGTGTCGTGGGGCCACCTCTCAAACTCCTCTCACCTCAGCATTACCTGACGTGCTTCAGTGGCACCATCGCTGTGCCCTTCCTTCTGGCTGAGGCGCTGTGTGTGGGCCGCGACCAGCACATGGTCAGTCAGCTCATCGGCACCATCTTCGCCTGTGTGGGTATCACCACTCTCATCCAGACTACAGTGGGCATCCGGTGAGCTGCCCCTCCCCAGTGCGCGCAGACAAGCACTTGTGCGCTCGCACATGGCAGAACAGGCAGGTGGTCTCTCTGAGCGCATCTGGTTTCTTCCCTATCTGCTGCACTATCTACCTGGCCAGCCTTAGGGCTCCCAGGAGACCGTGTGTAGGGCGTCTCCTTCACTCTCTCTTTACTCCACAGTTTAGGGGCACTGCTTCCTTGCCCCACTGCCAATTCCTGTGAGCAGCCTTTCAGCATCTATGTGGACCTGGGGGATTCCTAGCCCCAGATAATTCTAATCCGGTTGGCTCAATGGTGGTGGGTGCGAACAGTCGCAAGCAGCTCTCAGATGCAGAAAAGGAGCTGTCCGTTTTTAGACGTGGCTCTCCCGGATCCTGAGATGGAGGGTTGAAGACAATGCGTGGGATTTGAACTGACGGGAGTCCCCCTGGGGCCCCAATGCCTTCTCTCTCTCTCTCTCTCTCTCTCTCTCTCTCTCTCCCTCTCTCTGATGCTTCCTCTAAGCCTCCAGTTTCTATCCCTTTCTCTCAACCTACACCCCCACCTACCACCTACTCTGCCACCTTCCAGGCTGCCGCTGTTCCAGGCCAGCGCCCTTGCCTTTCTAGTTCCAGCCAGAGCTATCCTGGCCTTGGACAGGTGGAAGTGTCCCCCAGAAGGTGGGTTCGATTTTGATGTCTGTGCTGGAGGAGACATCAGCTGCCCAGAGACTAGATACCAGGGTGAATTCATGGCACTGTGTTCTCTCTGTCTCTCTCTCCAGAGGAGATCTATGGTAACTGGAGTATGCCCCTGGATACCTCTCATATCTGGCACCCGCGGATTCGAGAGGTGGGTAGAGAGACTGGGCTGGAAGGAGGAGCTAGACGGGCAGTTTGTATACACTTCTGAGTTGTGTTCAAGGAGGTGGTCTAGAAACTTGAACATTCTGTTGGGGTCCCTGTCAAGGTGACTTACAGCCGATTTTGCCTTTTTAGGTCCAGGGTGCAATCATGGTGTCCAGTATGATAGAGGTGCTGATTGGGCTGATGGGGCTTCCTGGGGCCCTGCTCAGCTACATTGGGCCTCTCACGGTCACCCCCACTGTCTCCCTCATTGGTCTCTCTGTTTTCCAAGCTGCTGGTGACCGAGCTGGCTCCCACTGGGGCATTTCAGCTTGGTGAGCGCACTGCGGGACTTTATCTGCCCAATCCTAGACCCTGCCCCCTGCCCTTTCACTCCTGCCGTGTTTCCAGGCGCCAGCCTGGCCTACCAGTTATTTCCTTCCTGTGTCTCTGCCCCCAGTTCCATTCTACTGATCGTCCTGTTCTCCCAGTACTTACGCAACCTCACCTTCCTGCTACCTGTTTACCGATGGGGCAAGGGTTTCACTTTCTTCCGCATCCAGATCTTTAAGATGTTTCCGGTGAGGAGCTAGCACATGCTGGGACTAGCAAAAGGGCAAGAGCTGAGGCAGAGCCAAGGCTGGGGCAGGGGCAAGGGCTCCAGCCAGAGGCTGGGGGTTCTGGGGCCGGTGCTGACACAGCAGCCTGCAGCACCCCATCACTCCACCCGCTCCAGATCGTGCTGGCCATCATGACCGTGTGGCTACTCTGCTATGTGCTGACCCTGACTGATGTGCTGCCTGCAGATCCCACAGCCTACGGCTTCCAGGCACGAACTGATGCCCGAGGTGACATCATGGCTAGCTCACCCTGGATCCGCATCCCCTATCCATGTAAGCAAGTCCACTTGGTCCCTTCTGCTTCCAACCACAACTCCTGAGAGACAGACAGACGCCTGCTGACTCCAGTTCAGCTGGCAATGCAGTTAGCATTAGCCCTGTTTGTGAATGCCACGTGCTGCTTATCCCCAAACCTTATGTCAGATCTGTGGTTCAGTGTGAGACCCTCCCTACCAGCCCCTCTCCCTTTCAAATCACCCCGTCTATCCCCACCCCACCATAGTTTTAAGACCCTGTTGTCTCCAACCCAGGTCAGTGGGGCATACCCACAGTGACTGTGGCTGCAGTCCTGGGAATGTTTAGTGCCACACTGGCAGGCATCATTGAGTCCATTGGTGATTACTATGCTTGTGCCCGGCTGGCTGGTGCACCGCCCCCTCCAGTACATGCTATCAACAGGTATGCGATGTCTGATCCTGAGGGGCCGCTATGAAAACAAGTGTGGGGGATAGGACTGGGTCCCATGGTTGGAGGCTTGGGCAAGAGAGCCATTCCCACCTCCTGCCCTCATTTCCTTGAGTATGGAACTGGGAATTGCTCACTCTCTAAATGTTGGGAACTGTGGAGAGATGCAAGAGTCCTGGGGAAACCAGTTACCGACAACCGTGTACCCAGTTCCTCATATGCATTCTAATGCATGGCTAGCCATGCTGGGAGGTGGGGACCCTCATCATCTCCATGGTACAGATGAGGAATTGAAGCTCAGAACTGTCCAAGGGCGTAAGTACTGGCACACAGTGCTGGTATTGGCCCCTGGCTTCCAGAGTGGAATGCAGCAGATAATGCCAGCCTGAACAACCCTGGAGCCAAGGGGGCAGGACAGACTGTTGATAAGGCCGGACCAACACCCCACTCATCATTTCTTTACAGGGGAATTTTCACTGAAGGCATCTGCTGCATTATCGCTGGGCTACTGGGCACAGGCAACGGGTCTACCTCGTCCAGCCCCAATATTGGGGTCCTAGGGATTACCAAGGTGCCACGCCACCAGCCAGAGTGGCACTGTCCCATTGTGTGTTGCAAAGCCCTGTTCTGCGTAGTCTTGGCTCTGGCCCAGCCCCACCTGTAGGAGCACCCCACCTTCACCCTCCCCTCTACCCAGCGCTGGTGTCCATTTATATGCCTGACACCCTGTCCCCTGAACTGGCCCTGCTTCTGGTTCTAGCCAGCCCCTGGCTTCCCGCAGGTGGGGAGCCGTCGAGTTGTGCAGTATGGTGCGTGCATCATGCTAGTCCTGGGTGCCATCGGCAAGTTCACAGCCCTCTTTGCCTCTCTCCCAGACCCCATTCTGGGAGGAATGTTCTGTACCCTTTTTGGTGAGTGCCTGATGCCTGCCCAGTGGGAGTGGCAGGGCCCATCTAGCCAGGCTGCATCTCTGATGGTTCTGCGGTGGCAGGTATGATCACCGCCGTGGGTCTGTCCAATCTGCAGTTTGTGGACATGAACTCCTCCCGCAACCTCTTTGTACTGGGATTCTCCATGTTCTTTGGCCTCATGCTACCCAATTACCTGGAGTCCAACCCAGGTGCTATCAACACAGGTACCTTTTGTTCTCTACTGTCTTGAGATGTGGGGAAAAGTGGGGCGGTCTCTCAAAACTCTTACACACATGTGTTGGAAACCAGCAAAAGTGGTACAGTGCTTCCCTAGCTCCTGTAATGAGGCTGGATTACAAGCATGAGCCTAGCTATTGATCAAGTTTTATACGTGTTCGTTTAATTTTCAAAATGAACAAGAGTTCACAGGGGCTAAGCGTTGTCCTAAGCCAATAACTAGCAGCTGACAGAAGACTGTCCCCAAAGATGGGGCAGACAGAGGTCCAGACAGGCTTGAAAGTCAGGGCTTTGAATAGTCCACGGCCACGATAGCTTCTAAGTTAGTGGGCGACACAGGTGGGAATCCTTTGAGCCTCCTAGAAAAGGCCACTAGCCCACTGGCTCTCGACTTATTCCACAGGCATTCCCGAAGTGGATCAGATCCTCACGGTGCTGCTGACCACGGAGATGTTTGTTGGCGGGTGCCTTGCTTTCATTCTGGACAACACAGTGCCAGGTACTGGGTCAGTGCTGGGAGCAAACACAGAACCAGGACATACTATGTACAACAGAAGGCTTGGTTCCTGAGAGAAGGCCAGGTCTGATGCCACGCAGCAGCAGGAACAGACAGGCTGGCAGAGTGTCCACTGGCTGGGGGAAGAGCCTGTAGCATGACATAGTCCCTAGGTCTTGAGAGTTAGTTCTGGGTTTTAGGAGTCTTCCACCAATTTTTTATGGCCACCAGGCTGGAAACACCTGTTTTTGCAGAGTTGGACAAAATCTACCAAGTAAGTTAGCAGCCTGCTATGCAAACAGAACCCCAAGGTGAACCTTTGCTGCCCCAGCTTTTGCAGGGAATGTGGAAACGTGACAGCCCAGTACGCATATGCCCAGTAAATATATGTTAGAGACTGACGGCCATAAGATCTAAACGGCAGCTGGCATCTGCCATGAGTCAGGAATGGAGTGTCTCACACCACCCTCAAAACCTGACAGGCTGGGCTGGATCAGCAGTGAAGCACTTGCCAAGCATGCGTGAGGCCCTAGATTTAATTTCCAGTATTGAAACCAAACAACGCCCACATCATAAAGTAACTGTGAATCGACAGTCACTGTATATGACCTCTGCGGACAGGTTTTGGAAACTGAGTGGAGAAAGCTCAATGAAGACAGTGGTCATTAACCATGGTTTCTTGAGATGCAGCAGCCCAGACTGGCTTAACCTTGAGATGCAGCAGCCCAGACTGGCTTAACCTTGCCATTCTCGTCTTTATCTGCTATCTGATGCATCACCATACCTGGCTTATTCCTTTGGCAAATGCAGTTCAGAAAAAGCTGGTGGAATTTACCAGCTTGGCCGAGGCAAATTGAGGATGTTTGTTTTGAGGAGTTCCTCCCACAAAATGGGACATAAAACTGGGTTTAAATAAGACGTTGTTGGGACTAAGCTGGAGTCATCTGCAGATAAGGCAGCTCTGTCCTGAGAGGAGCACGAGACTGGGACCACACTGTTAGCAGGAAGGCACTCTGGGCTAGGCAGGCTTTCAGGCTATGGCAGTGGCACAGAGGCAAGTGGGGCACTGGGACCACAGTCATGTGTATGCCAACAGCTCTTCCCTTTCTACTCTGGCCCAGTGCTAACACCTTCAGGGGCAGCCTTTCCGAGGCCTCCAGCCTGAGATTTGTTGGAGACTGCAGTGGCTCTGGGTTATTCTTAGCTCTGGCTGCCCTCACTCCTCCCACCACACTGGAATTATTTCAGTCTTTGTCAGCCCCAGCCCTTCTGAGAACCTGCAATCTCTGGGACTCTTCTCCCATAGGTGCACCCTACTCCATCAAAGAGTCTTGCTCAGCTCAGTTTTCATTCATACTATAGAAATGATTTATTTCCCCAATGTATAATTAGAGTGAATCTTAATATTGATAAAGTGTTTCAAGATCTATGTCCTTGGCCTGGCAGGATGACTCAGCAGGAAAAGGTACTGGCTGATCCAGATGACCTAAGTCCAACTCCTAGGGCCCACAAGATGGAGCAAGAGAACCTACTTCCTGTGCTTATCTTTTGATCTCTGCACTTTCATAGATACAGGATAAACAATAAATGTGACAAATAGCTTAAAAAGAAATACATCCTTATGTATAAAACCTAGACACTATTTGGGTCCCATGAACCCAGCACACACTAGGGCTATATTCAGATCGATTGATCGATCCATTCATCCATCCATCCATTTTTTGGGTTTTCCCAGACAGGTTGCCTTGGCTGTCCTGGAACTTTCTCTTTAGACCAGGCTGGCCTTGAACTCAGAGATCCACCTGCTTCTGCTGGGATTAAAGGTGTGTGCCACCACTGCCCAACTCAGATAGAGTAAAATGACTTAGCCTGTTTCTTCTCAAAATTTTGTGCAATAGTGCCTACACACCTCCCAGGGGTGTTCTGAAATAATGAAATTAGTTAGCACAGAGCCTGATGCTATAGTTACACAGTATTAGTCTTTAAAAATTTTATTTTAACACTGCATTTTATGTGCATTGGTGTTTTGCCTGCATGTGTCTGTGTGAGGGTGTCAGATCTTGGAATTACAGACAGGTGTGAGCTGCCATGTGGGTGCTGGGAATTGAACCCAGGTCCTCTCGAAGACTAGCTAGTGCTCTTAAACATGGAGCCACCTCTCTAGCCCTATGTATTAATCTTTTAGAGTTTCTCAGAGCTATGGCAAGTAAGGCATCCAGGGTGGTAGAGAGTGCTTCACTAGCATATAGAACTGCCTTGGGCTCCATTCTAGCAAAGCAAACTCAACAAGACTTGATTCTAGAAGTATGCCTTACCACTGGTTGTATGAAGGGGAGGCAGCACAGGGCTGTCACCCTCTTAGATGATCCCACTGTCCTGCAGGGAGCCCAGAGGAAAGAGGCCTGGTACAGTGGAAAGCTGGAGCCCATGCCAACAGTGAGACGTCAGCCAGTCTGAAGAGCTATGACTTCCCCTTTGGGATGGGCACGGTAAAAAGGAGTGCCTTCCTCAGATACATTCCTATCTGCCCAGTCTTCAGAGGGTTTGCTAACAAGTCAGAAAATCAGACTCCAGTTCCAGAAGATACTCCAAACAATACAGAAACCGCATCTGTGTGCACCAAGGTCTGAAACTAACTACGAAAAGAAAGGTAGGATGTGTTATGACTCTTGTGGGAGGTTGAATAATCCAACATCTGTTTCAACAACGAAAACTGAATTACTTCCATTTTTGCAATCTGTTTCAAGTTTCTTCAAGGGGAGAGTAGACTGAATAAAAAAATCCTATGTGTATTTTGGGTGGAATTCCTTAGCCATGTTCTAATGAGAGCAGAAATTTCCAACTGCTGTGGGTCACTGATGGTTAACAATAAGTTGGAATATTATTAATCCTATGAGATATAAGTAGCATTTAGGACAAGAAGTCTATAAGAAGTCACTGTACGCCTGTCTCTAATTCTTGTATGCTTGTATTTTTTTCAGTCTTTTAAGTACTGACATTACTGGCATAAGCCACCATGATCAGTTTACCCCCTCAATTCATGATCCTTCTATCATAGCCTCTCTCAAAATGTAAGAACTAAAAAAACAAACAAACAAACAAAAAAAACACAACTTTAAGGTAATTCATGTTATGTGCGTGAGTGTTTTGCCCGCATGTATGTCTGTCACGCACCTGTTCAGTGCCTGCAGGTAAGCAGTAAGCACGGGATCCCATGGAACCAGAGTTATGGAGAGTTGTGAGCCACCATGTGGGTGCTGGAAATCAAGGGTCCTCTTGCCGGAGCAACAAGTGCTCTTATCTACTGAGCCATCTCATAGCTCAAATGCAAGAATTTTGCAGGTGTATATCACTACACCTAAATAATGTTTGGTATGGAAAAGGTTGAAACACTAAGACATTAAACAGGAAAAATCATTCCACATATACCATTTTGTTTCTATCTTAGTGGTCATAAAACTAAAATAATTTTAATTCAGTACCACAAATCTGTTAGTACAAGCCCATGGTGGGGAGGGGAGCGGGTGACCATTTGTCTTTAGGGCTTCAAAATGCGTGGACAGTTCTGAATCCTAACTTTGCCTAAAATGTAGACAACTGGTTCAGTTTAATGAAATACTTTCTCCCTACGAGCAGTGGTCCAGTGAAGTTGAAAGGCACTTGTGTCTGCTATGTGAGCTGTTAAGGAGGCACATGAGATCAAGGCTAGTTTGAGCGGTGCCCCTTGTAGCATTTAGAAAATATAGGTATTATGGACCCCCTCAAAGAGCAAGTTTCAAAGATACTCATACACATTAAAAAAAACAAAAAGAAAATTGGGGCTATAGAGATGGTTCAGTGTTTAAGAGCCTCGCTGCTCTTCCAGAGGTCCTGAATTCAATTCCCAGCACCCATATGGCAGCTCACATCGGTCTATAACTGTAGTCCTACAAGATCAATACTCTTCTGTGTAGTAGTATATTATTTGTATCTTGATAAATCTTGCCTGAAGACCACAGGCAAAGTCAAGCCACTAGAGAAGTCTTACCTCTACCAAGGCTTGGCAACTGCAGACTAAGCCTCTCTCCTCCCATTTTATATTCCCTCTAGTGCCGGGATTAAAGCCATGTGACTCCCTAGGACTGGGATTAAGGGTGTGAGCCACCACCACCTGGATTTGCTCCTGCATTGATCCTGTGTAGCCCAGGCTGAACTTAAGTGATCCATCTGCCTCTGTCTCCCAAATCCTGGTATAAAAGGTGTATGTCACCATTGCCTGACCTCTAGTGGGTCTTCAGCCAAGATTTATCAAAATACAAATAATATATCATCACATTCCCCCCTTTTTTTGTCTAAAATAAAAAAAAAGGCTATATGCAGGCAGACAAAACATCCATCTACATTAAGTAAAATAAAAATAAAGGCAACACCTGTATTCTCAAAATGCTAGCATTAAAGGAAGGAAGGGAGGGAGGGAAGAAGAGAAAAAAGGAAGAGAGAGAGAGAGAGAGAGGCAAGGAAAAATTAAAGCCAGGCAGGCTTGGTGCTGTAGAGGAGATCTCTGTGAGTTGGAGGCCAGCCTGGTCTACAATGTGAGTCCCAGGACACCCATGGCTGCAGAGAAACCCCGTCTTAGAAGAGACAAATGACTGTTAACAGTGGCTGCTTGTCATGCAGAAAATAGTCCTTAAGTCCAACCTCCAGCACCACAAAGATAAAAAGTAATGACTTCTCAGTGCTTTCCACAATGAATGTGAGCCAGAAACACTCACACAGAAGAGCAAGATAACCTCAGCACCCAAAATCGCGAGGCAAGAACTGAGCTGCAAAGCTGGCTTTAGCTATGTAGCAATATAGTGTCTCAAAACATAAAGTTGGGTATGGTGGGCATGCCTTTCAGGAGGATCTCTGTGAGTTGGAGGCCAGGCTGGTCTACAGAGTGAGTTCCAGGACCCAGGGCTGCACAGGGGAAACCCGTCTTGAAAATAAGCGAAAACGATGAAATAAATGACTACATGGCCTGTTTTAGTCTCCAGCCCTATAATATCAAGAGAAATCCATGCTGCTGCTCATGCTAAGCAGGTGTTCTACCACTAACAAACACATATCCCCAGCACACCACAGTTTTACACCACAACTATCTAAGATTTCAGACACTGGTCTTGGACAACAAAAAAGGAAGGACAAGTCAAATACTGGAGAGACACTTGCACAGCTATTGTGTATTCGAGCAAGTCCTCCTCTGAGCACAGTTCACTCACAGGGTGACTGGAGGCTGCGGGCCCACACTAAGTACCGACACTGGAGAGTCTGTACCAATAAACACAAGCACCAGCTCAGTTCTACTATTATTTATTTTTTTAAATATTTTTGAAAAAATATAATTTTTTTTACAATATTTTCAACTTAAACACTATTCACACTGAACACGTATGGCAGCTTAACCTACCCAAACATGAAGTTTAAGAAGCCAAAACTGTTCTAGCTTTGTTAAAAGAAAAATTGTGCTGCAGACTATAGTCATGATAGTTAACAAAGCAAGGAAGAGCACCACTCAAAATCATGCTTCCGCCTTTCAGTGCTCCAGTGGATGATGGCTGGTGTTGGTCCTGTGCCAGACGTCACACACGTATGGCTATGATGCAGTGGATCCTCAGAAGACACAGCCTCCCTCAAGTCCTATTTCCTCAAGTTCACCTCTGCTGGGAGAACCCAGTGTTCCTAACATGATAACGCATCAGGCAAAAGCCAGCCCAGCTCTGAACTGACCACCACTGTACCCTCTGCAGACATTCTTGTGTAACGACTCACTGCTAGTTAACACTTTCTTCAGAAAAGGTCATTTTCAATGGACAAATGCAACTGAGAAATCTGCTTAACAATCAGAACTTAATTTAAACTTACTCATTTACTTATTTTACAAAGTGTAGACATTAAAAAAGTGTCAATTAATCCTAAGGGACCATCTACCCTCAAAGACAGACAATTCAGTGAGAGTTGGAGCTTATTTAATTTGGTTCTTTGTCACAATTGACTGGTGCTTCTTCCATTGCTGTCTTTACTTTAAGCCATGGGGCCAATTCTACTTTCAGGAACTGTGTGACAGCTTCTTACTTAGTAACAGTCTCAGCACTTTTATTAAGCATGCAAGACTAACAAAAACTTTGGCAATGCATAAGTGTAACACAGTGACGAGAGAGCTTTTACAATGAAGTCTTCTAATACTGCCTTCACAGTGTGGAAATTGTGCTACATCCACCAAAAGAGGGCCCCGTCTACTCAAATATGTTAGTACTTCACCCCAGGAACAAACTCCTTTGCATTTGGATTCAGATTGCTCTTGACCTGGAAAATAAGTACATAAGAAAGAAAGAAAGAAAAAAAAAGGCAAATTCATTATAGTTGGCTGTGGATTCTCAGAAGCATTCAGCCTAGTTCTTTATGTAAAAAATATCTTAGAATACAAAAGACTGGACTACAGTTATACCTAACCCCAAAAACCTCTGGCAGAGAAAGAATGTGATGGACTGCTATATCCTTCTTTGTTTTATATAGGCCTCTTTGTACAGTCCAAGCTGGCCTTGAACTCAGAGATCCACCAGTCTATCCTCCCAAGGGCTGGGATTCAAGGCATTTGTCACCACACAAACCTCTATATTCTATTTTACCAACTTCTAAAGTAGGAGCTGACATTAAATATAACAATAAAAAAAAGACCTCACTAACTTCACATAAACTATAGGGAATAACACGGGATAAGGACTTCTGTCAACTGTTACTTGATGCTCTGGGCGACTTTCAAATAAGTTAAATACAAGTTCACAGTCGAATAACTGGGTATTATTGGCTGTTGGTGAATTTTATTTATGACTGTCACTGAAAACTCGAGGGTTATCTTTCTACAGGAGGAACTGGATGTAACAAGAAAAGAAAACCGCACAGGAGACAGAAGACCTGAGTTGGGAATCTCAGCTCAGCCTTTTCCAAATTCCCATGTAAGCTTGGACAAATCACCCTCTGAGACTGTTTCCATTATCAGCTTACAAAACATCAGAAGAGTAAGCCAAAGTCTCTAAGCACTCTAGAGCTCTGCACTAGAATTATTCTGTTTTCCACTTTTACCTTTCTAAGCATACATGTCAATGTAAAGGAAATAGCGGAAAATTCTCTACACTGAGAGTTGGGAGTTGACAAAAAGGAAATTAGGAGATTCCAGGGGTAAACGCAGACATGCAGGTAGGCTTTTTTTTTAAAACTGAATTTAATTCTAATGTCATATATTTTAAGACCAAAACATAATACTAAACAACATATTGGAACAATAACTTAGATAAATAGAGATAAATATTCCCCATTCCCACAGGGAAATAAATCTAAATTTTAATTCATGTTTCAGGCCTGAGCTTGACCTTCAGCATTACACACACAGAAACAAAAACCCTTAAGAGGAAGAAGAGCGAACAGGGTTTAATTGTAAAATCCAGAAGTCTTTTATATATAATCTCTGGCAGCTAGAGAAGTTCAAGAAAGAATTAAAGTACTCTCGAATAGTTTGAGTTAAACTAATCAGTTTCTGTGTTATGGATTTATGCAAAATCCAGCTTATATTTAAGACTAGCAAAGGTTCATCAGAGAATCAGCATCATTTGAGAGCAAGCATCTTGAGATCATATACCTTGTTCAACTGGGTCACTGTCATTTACTGCAACAAAGATTATACCACAATGTAAATGTTTTCTGCATTGTCCTTTAGCTGCAGACTGGTTTCCAAAGTGCGATGGGGAGGATGACTCTAAACTATCTCCTCTGGGATGCTTTTAAACAATTACCATGCTTAAAACCTGACTCTTCAAGTTTAGGTGATTATGACAAACAGCTTAGTAAACGAATGTACACTGAACAGACAACAATGGGGAAATCCCAGAGCCCAGGAGTTCCAGTTAATTCTCTTGGCTAGAAAGATAAACATCGAAAACCAGAAAAAAATTGTAATTTTATGTGGAGCATGGTGGCTCGTGCTTGTAATTCCAGGTCTTAACAGACTGGGACATGAGGATTACTCTAAATCTGAGGCTAGTCATGGCTACGCATTGAGTTTCAGGATGGATTGTGCTAGAGTGAGACCCTGTTTCAAACATTCACCCACTTCACAAAACAGAATCTTTTATTTTAATTTTAGTAAAAGACTCATCAGGGTCTACTTTAGTGACGATGAGAACTTTATTGCAAGGGTATTACCAGTGATGACACTGAGGAAAAGCAAGAACATGAATCTAGCTTTGCATTCTTTTTCTGCCAAGAGCTTGTAAAAGTTATCTCAAAGAAACCTAATCAGGAGATCTAAGAAATTTTATCAGATAAAAATTTCCAGATTTCAACAAATGTTTAGGTGACAATTAAAGAGCGAAACTTTCATCAAGGTACTTTTATATAATCAAGCCATATGGTACTACTCCAAGACATTCAGATACTCCAAGGGCAACGTAAGTTTAATGCAACATCAAAGTTGAACCAACAAGTTATCCTATGTGAGACTGGGGGACCTCTGCTTCCACGCTTAAAAAGAGTGGGAAATTTTTCAAAGGGGAAGAGATGTGGAACTCTTCTTAAATAGAGCGTAGCTGGATTTTCCACTTATGGGAGAGATGAGGTAGGGTCTAAAAAGATGAGAAATGACTTTTTTTTTTTTACCACAAGATCTTCCAGAGATGTGCCATCACTGATAACAAGGTCATTAAACTGGTCTTGGATTTGGTCCATAGTTTGTGGGAGATCTCGAGCTGGAATAAACCATTCATGTTCTTCTTCCTCTTCCAACATTTCTTGGAAACAGCGTTCAATAAATTCTTCTTCCCACAACTCCTCTTCTATCTAGAGTTACCACAAATAAGGGATAATTATAGCATAGCTGTAGGACATCCCTAAGTATGGCTTAAAATATCTTAAAAGAAGCCATTTGCAACCATAATGTGAGAACAGGTTGTGGTAGGTTGTACACGCCTTTAATCCCAGCACTCAGGAGGCAGGCAAGTGGATACCTGAGTTTGAGGTCAGCCAAGAATTTACAGTGAGACCCTGTCTCAACACAACAGAACAGAACCAGGTCAAATAATAATGAGGCTGGCCATGTGGTTTACGCACTTGAAAAACAAAGTAAAATGACTACAGTGAGTTCCAGGCCAGCCTGTAATATAGAATGGGCCCATCTCTCAAAATATCACTATGCACGAGGCCTTGAGTCTGATCTCCCATACCAAAATTCAAAAATCAAAAACTTCCTCTACTGCTTTTGTACTACAGGTAACAAAAGAAAACAAAACCCCCCATAAAGACCGAGGAAGAGCTGTTTAGGGTTAGTCTAGGTCTTTATTTGTCTCCACAGAACGTTTTTCCATTTAAAACAGCAGGGAAAAAGTAAAGGAGTGAGCCAGGTGGTAGTAGCACATGCCTTCAATTCCAGCACTCAGGAGGCATTCATTGGTAGGCGAATCTCTGTGCATTGGAAGCCAGCCTGGTCTACAGAGTGAATTATAGGACTGCCAGGGATATGCAGAAAAACCCCATCTCAAAAAGCAAAATGAAAATAAATAAATTAAAACCCTAAAAATAAAAAAAAATAAAATAAAGGAGTGATCTCTTCGAGAAATATTTATCAGAATTACTCATGAAGCCTTAAAATACTAAGCCCCTAACCCAACCTTCATAAAGACTACAGAAAAAGGTCTAGGAGGTAGAGATTAAAAACAGCAGCAAAAGGGCTGGAGAGATGGCTCATAGGTTAAGAGCTGCCAATTCCCAGCAACCACATGGTGGCTCACAACTATCTATATAATGAATCTGGTGCCCTCTTCTGGCCTGCAGGCACACATGCAGACAGAACATTGCATACAAACAATCAAAAACAAAATTTAAAAGGGCAGGAAGGGCTGGGTAGTGGCGCACCCAGTGGGTCTCTATGAGTTTAAGGTCAGCCAGAGCAAATTCCAGGACAGCCAGGGCTACACAGAGAAACCCTGTTTTGACATCCCCCATCCCTCCAATAAAAAGGGAGGCTGGAAGAAAGGATTCAGTGCTAAATAGCACTAGTTGTTCTTTCAGAGGACCTGTGCCCAGCACCCATGCTGGGCAGCTCACAACTGCTTGCAGCTCCAGCACTAGGGGATTCAAGTCCTCTTCTGGCTTTTGCACCTGTACACACACGGCTCAGCCATTAAAGATTAGGCTCATAACCAAAAAAAGTAAAAATAAATCTTAAAGTCAGGCCTGATGGTTCATGCCTTTAATCCCAGCACTTGGGGGTTGTTGGTATCGGCTGGTGTATTTCTGCAGGTTACAGAGTGAGACACCCTGCCTTAAAAACAAACAAGACAACCCTTTTCTCCTTTAATAACAGCCCCCGCACCTCTATTGAGTCTCACTAGATCAGGATTGGGACTAAGAAAGCGAGAATAGTAGAAATGGGGATAAAGATGTCGATTATCAATCTACCAGAGTTCTCTAAAAAGTAGTAGCAGATTTTAAGGTTGATTAAGGTTAAGACTGAGGCTCTTAGGTGAAAAACAGACCAATTTTGCACCAGACATCTATGGTCTGTGTGCTTCAATTTCCTAAATTCTCTTGGATTTACACTGTAATACAGAGATTTGATTGGTTTAAGGTAGTGGTTTTCAAACTGAACTATCTGGGACGTTTTTTGGCTTCCTGGGCTTTATCCTATAATTCTGCACCAATCT